CCTGATTCAACTTTGATATCATGCATCAATATGCCCTATTGTTATAGTAATAAATTGCTAGACCCTGTACCTATACTTTGTCTAAAATGTACTCTGAAATCTCTATAAACTTCAGGGGAAAAGGGCCAGGTTCTTTCCAAAAGATAGATACAATATTCATAATTGGTGCTGTTTCTTTCAACTCTATTCAGTGTGTTAATTCTTGTACATAAATTCCTATAAATATGCTATCAGCTTCTGTACTTACATTTTGAGTACTACTCTCTGATTAGCAGCTGAATTTATTGCTGTTGTTAGAGCTGCTTTGTGTGTTTCTGTCTCTGCTTTTATGTATTGCGTAAGTTTGCTAATGTTTTCTACATTCCTGGTTCCTCTCAGAAATCGAGTACCATTCAAGACCACATTATTTCACATTGTCTTTATTTCTCCTTTTCACATGACATAATCCTTCTTCAGTTTTCTATAAACTAGTTTCATGGTTATCTTGATGTTACCTACTTTCTGACCTGTCAGGATCACAAATATAAAATAGAAGGTGTAGATTTTGAACTAGTGAAATAACAGATTGAGGATTTCTCATTTTATCATTCTTTTTAGGCATGGTGCTTAAAATAGCATCACTTAATATAATGCCAGACCTGACTGTATCAAAGTAAAGATACACAATAACAGTATGAATAGTCATTAAGACATTTTACTTAGGCTAGTGAGTGATACCATTTTGACATCTGACTTATTTTTAAAACATAAAATTTTTAAATTTTCCATCTACTGATTTGTCAGTTTTCATTTGATATGTATTTCTTAGTTAAAAGAAGCCAATACTTGATTATTTACTAATATTTTGGTGCATAATTAGTGAAGCTAGTGTGTTAACCTCAGTTTTGCATTTCTCTCAAGGTGTATAATGGTCATTTAGTATTTCTCTAAAGGTGATCTGAGTCATACATCTTAGTGTACTTTCTCCCCTTTGGAAAGAAGGTGTGTAAGAAGCTGCCTCTCTATATGTAGGGACTAAAGCCCTTCCCACAGTCTTTCCTCTCTTCAGCCCTCTTACTTGTCGGTTTTTTCCCTCATCAGAGAAAATTTGAGGGACTCTAGATCCTCATACTTCTTTGGGATGTATGTACCTACAAGATTCCAGTATGCTCTTAGGCCTAAAGAGAATTTCTAAAAGGAGTTTTTTTTTTATTAGACTCTTACTTTTTTCTTAATTTCTTCCTTCATGGAGTAGAGAGGGTAAAATAGATCTCTGAGAGTTTTTCTTTCCTGGGGAAAATAATGCTTTTGAGGAGATGGTATTTGTGTTATTCTGTTATATAAGAAGAGTCAAGTATAAAGGCTTCAAAGTAAGCGTCTCGAAGTTCTTAGCATTTATTTTCCTCCCATTACTTACCATTGACAAGTTTTGTGGAATTTTCTCTATATCTTTGTCTTTAACAGGTTTCAGTGCTTTTTGCAGTTTCCCTGTTGGAAAATTACGAGTGAAAAATCAAACTACAGTTAACACTTAAACAACACAGGGGTTAGGGACACCAACACACACACACACACACACACACACACACACACACACACACACACACACGGTCAGAAATCTGAGTATAATGCGTAATTGACCTTCCATATCCACCATTCTGTATCCGTGGTTCCTCTCTGGTTCCTTATCTGTAAATTCAACCAACCGCACATTGTGAAGTACTGTAGTTCATATTTATTGAAAAAAATCCACCTATAAGTGGATCCACAGAGTTCAAACCTGTGTGTTGTTCAAAGGTCAACTGTATATTCTTCCTGTCTCATGAATTCCCTAAGCCTACCAGTTGTCTTCTTTCAGTCTGGAAAGAATTCACTGTCTATTTACCTGAATATCTCTATTCCAATTTGTTTTCCAAATACCGTATCCTCGATGTTTGAATCAGTTTAAAAACAAAAACAAAAAAACACCTGAGTGTGCTGACAATGAGGAAGACCTCCCTCCATCTGGCTTTGCCCCTTATGGCTCTCAGCATTCTGAGGACCTCCATTTTCTATTTTGGATAGAATTTCTCCAAATTTTTAGAGACCCTTGAGTCTCTTCTTATCCACCCAATTCAATTAATTTTCACTGAAAATAATAAGGCTTATTTATATTTATAACGTAGCCATTACATATGCACTGTCACCTCTGCTTTCATTTGCAAATATGGCTCTAAACTGAAAGAAAAAATGCAATCAAGCATACTTATTTTGGGAAGAGTTTTGCCAAATGTCAACCATATTAGCAATGATATTTAAATTCACAGGAGAGTCCCAGAAAAGATGTCAGTATTGGGCTAAATATATAATCTAACAAAACTAATTTGAATTCTAGATTTTGGGAATGAAAGAAAGAACAAAGGATCTTTCCCCACCTCAACTGCCCTAAGAATAGGGTTAAAGAGAATGTCTATCAACCCAAACACTCAATCCAGTTTAGTAGAATTTCCAGTAGTACAGTGCAACATGAAAAAAAAAAAATCATGTTTTCTCAGGCAATATGGGGAAAGATGTTTTGGCTTAAGATATCCAGCTTAAAAGTACCTAATTCATACCTGAGTGTCATTCTTGGTTTTCACAGCTTCTTTCCTTCTTCTGTTTCTGAACCTATTGGTGCTCTTGAAGCTCCATGTTTTTCACAAATGGTTCCTAATAACAGTGCATTTTGGAAGTATGAAAAAAAGAGAGAGAGGACCAGGATAACTTTTGGCTTGAATGTGGAATGTTATATCCTTTTCTTTCATTTGCTTTATGTGTTATATAAGAAGAAATTTTAAAAGATGATGATTGGACAGAGTTATCTTTGTGTCTAATTCCTAAAGATCAGATGAAATTAGAAAGGATATGTCAGTTAATACTTTTTGTATATCTTATCTTACTATATTTCAAAAAGGCTATCTTGTTTCCTCAAAGGATCTCATAGGTACAACCCTAGATAATGAAATACATTTTGGTTTGCACTTGACCAGATTTGTTTTTTTGAAGTTAAAAACTTCTTTTCAATCCATTCACTTGCTTCTTGAAAATTACTTTTAAATCACCACCTTTGCTTAAATTTTGTATACCTATTACAGAGAATTCAACTTCCCTTATTTTTTTCTAACTGTTTAATTATTGGAGAAAATATCCAAAATTATTTCTAAAGATCATTTCTTCATCCAGTTGATCTACTTTCTTTATTAAACACCCTTCAAACCAAACATCTTTATACACTCTAGGTAAAGGTAGCCAACAATATAGTATTCACTAACATGATTTAATCTCAGGTCATTCCATTTCAAAAGAATCTTGTCTCTATTGTTAATAAATACAGTTTATCCTAGTAAAACAAGCTTGTCATTAGGGTCTGTTTAAATAGGGTCATGTGTGAGAATGTAACTTCATCTTTTCTCAGAGATAATTACATTCTCAGAGACCTGCCAAGTTCCGATATAAATATTAACTTAACCTTCTTGGAAATAGGATTATATGGATTCAGAAGTAAAAGTCCTTGTTTTCCAGCATTTATTTCCCCTTGAATCTCACTCCCACCTTTACTGATGAGCAGCAAACAGACTTGACTTGATTCTCTTATTAGAAATCAAAGGTATTTACCTATAGACAAGGCTCTCTGACATTTTATCAATCATATCAATTTCTGCTTTCACTTCTGCTTGTAGTAGTCAGAAAGTTCTTGACTTTGCTGATCTCTGTTCTCAGTTCTCATCATCTGCCAAAATGATATATTTATCATTCAAATCAGGGCACTTGAAGTGGGCACCAAAAATAATTAAAATTATATAATTTTTGAAATATGTACTTATTGACCAACAAAGAAGTTTATCATATTAATAAACCTATTAAATCATTCTATTCAAAGACTGTTTTTCAAAAATGAAATTCTAGTATTACAAAAGCCATAAACCTAGACTGTCCCAGGGAAACTGGGATGTAGGTAACCCTATTAAGACATTAAAAAAATGAATGTAACATTAAACTAGGATCAAAAAGTATAGTCTGAAAGGCACACAGCCACAAGGAATAGGTGTGATCTCCCCTGTTACTTCAGCCCTTGATGCTTTATTGCTTTCTGCCTTAGCCATTGATACAGCTATATTAAAAAAATGTATTATGTTTAGGTATAAGCCTCTTTCCCTGTATTATAAACATGAAATCATAGAATCATGTACCTTAAGGACTACAGGGTCCATAACTGTGGAATAGTCTTACAATATTAGTCTTAAAATATTAGTAAATTAATCTGTTAACTAAATTTGCTATATGATTTCTAGGTAGTTCTAAAGAAAAGCTTCAGTTTAGTCATTGAAGATTATTTAAAGTCTATAAAAACTTTATAAAGTCTTATAAAAACCACATTAACTTTGTTGATATTGATGATAATCTGCTATAAAGTCATGCTTAGAATATCACATTTTTGCTTACTGTATTTTTCCAGGACAAGAATAATACCTTGTATTTATATAGCACCGTAAATCTTACAGGCACTTCACATAGATTATCTCATTGTATCCACTCACTATTTTTTGTGAGATAATCAGACAACATTTTATAAGAGAAGTGAGGCTTAGAAAGGTTAAGAGAATTGCCAAAGATGATGACATTACTATTAAGAGGTTGAACCTAGGACTTCTGATCACTGATAAACTGTCACTTGTAAGAGGTAAGTGGTTACGGGGAGTGGTTTTGCAGGAGGGAGTTGAGAAGGGAAGATCCTTAGAGAACATGATACGTTTCAGAAATAATTTTAGTCTTATTCAAGAGTTATAGATCATCTTTCATTGAATCACTAAAATTAAGTCTTAGACACAAATAAAATGTCTAAACATAATCCCTTAAGCATCTGGGAGTCAGGGTCAAAAAAGTATTTCAATTCTAAAATTAAAAAGTTGTGATTAACATGAAACTGTTTAATCATGCTTTGATCAAGTAACCTAAGTATGAACAGTTTCCCAACCAAAATAGTGGAAATAGAATTACACTAGAATTTAATTTTTTAGATTGTTAGTCAAAAATTTTCTTTAAAAGTGTTGACTGTTGTGCAATTCAGCACTCAGAAATAGAAGGAACACAAGGTGAGAAAAAAGGTCTTTTAAGTTATCCCAGAAAAACCTAATTACCTCTGATAGCACAAGATACCTACAGGCGTTGCCATCTACTCTGTATTTGGGGAACATGGCACATTTCCACATGTTTTTGAAAACATAAAGTCTACCAACAAAAACAAATGAAACTTTGGTTTCTTCTCTTCTTCATTTCCATTCTTCTTGCTTATAACTGCAATACAGACATTTACCAGTCTTTGAATGGACCTTCTATGTAGTGTTTGCTATTTTGGGAAAGGGTTATTCTTTCTTTTTTTTTACATCCTAATGACAGTACCAAACTCATGCTACTTTTTATACTAATAAATGTGTGATTCCAAGATAATGGATCATTATCATAATTGCTTACTTAAGCCTCCTTAGCTCAAAAATTCTAACAGTGCCTACAGTTAAATATAGCCTGATGTCACTGAAGTACATTTTCTCACACTGATTTTGATAACTATCTTTTACATTATTTTACAATGTTGATAAATGCTTCTTTTCTGGTTAGAAGACTATTTTGCACCTCCACAAAGGATCCGTAAGTGATATGAATAAAGTCTGTGTAACTTGCACAATTTAAAACATTTTTAAAACTAGAAGCATCTAGGTCTGATATGCCATTAAAAAATTACCCATTGTTTTTATAACTATTTTAGCATTGGCAAATTGTTTCATTGTTAGTAGACATGCTTAGTCTTAGCAGGTCAACAGAATAGTATCGATGCCCTGATCATGGAGAGTACAATAGCTAATCTACCATGCCTCTTTAGGGAAATTGGGCTTTTTATCTTAGAAGCTTTAGTTAATTTTCCTTAATTATATTGAAGTTGCTAGTTTTTAGAAGAACTACCAGAACACTTGATAATACATTTCTGTTGTTCCATTCAAGCTGGGTAATTGATTTAGCCTACATGCTACTTCCAAAGTTTTATTCAGCTTTAAGAGAGAAACTTAGGCTCCTTGATGCCTGCATTCTTCTTGAATCACAATATTTAAACTCAAGTCATCTAAAGCAGACAGAGCAAATGATGAGTTTTTTTTGATGATGAGCAAATGATGAGACAAAAGGATCTGGCTAAACACTGATGCTCTGAAGTAAGGTATTTGTCATTAGAGATGCCTTAGCTAAAATTTTCCTATTCTCAAATATATTGAGCAAAGCAGTATCTCCAGCAATCCTTATGTTCAACAGTGGATCAAATAAAAATCATTTGTTAGAACACAGTCTATCCATTAGATATTTAACAGTAGGATATTCCTCTATTAACATCAAAGTTTTTTAATAATTCCATGATTTTCTCTGGATAGACACTTTCTCAACCATAGGATCTGCTTGTAATTTTGTATATCACTGAATACATAAGTCTTTTTTCCTTTACCAAAGTTTAGGGCTGGCAAAAGGAGGAAGTAGAACCTAATAATTCAGAAATACTATTAGATGTGGCTATTCTCACACCCTTTGCTATGAGTCTTTTTTATAGCCCTAAGACGCCTCCCTGTCAGCAGTGGGTTATAAGGTAGCCTACTCTTTCTAGTGGGAATTTCCTAATGTACAACTAATCTCCTCAGAATCCAGGCCCAGTTAATATTATTTTTTAAATCTTTCCATTAAGTAATTATAAAATAAGAGCCATTTAAAGTGCATTAAAACCCAATTTTCTCTAAATCTCTTAATAGGAACCAAGGTTACATTCTGTGAGAAGAAAATTTTCTCAGCCTTCATCTGTAGGTTTGAAACCTCGATATTCTCGAAGCCCACATTTTCATCCTAGAAAAGATTTCAGAGCAGAGAATTCAGTTCTTACTGCATCTTCCTCTACTGATTCTGTTAAGTAGAGTCTTGGATAACTATTATATCCAATAATAGAAAACAACTAGCCCCATGTGTGGTCTGGTAACAAATGTGAGGGTTTCGGACATGCTTAAGGTTAAATGTTTTTGCTTTTTTAAGGGAAGTAAAGAAATCTAAGTAGCCAGAATATTGGAGGGTACAGGATAAAATCATGGTTTCCTTTAATAATTCACACACACTTAAGTAACATAGACTTATAATCTGTAACAAATAAAACAAAGGTCATATCTATAAAACAAGTATCTTGATAAAGTTTGGAGATTTTGGTCATCATCGGGTTATCTTATCAACATGATAATGTCATATACAACCACTTGAAAACATCTTCAGTGTTTGGATTTTACAGCTTTATTCCGGAAGCTTTATATTTCTTAAGCATAGCATGGCATATACAGAACATACACAGCAACAAGCAATGTGGTGTAATCAGGTAAATTAAAAAAAAAAACACTGTCTTGTTGGGGAGATAGCATGTGTAGAAGAGTCTAGCTTCCGCATTATTTTCACTATATTTAGGTTTGTGTATATTTTACCTATTTCAATATTTTTGATAAAACATTTCAAATTCTAGGTTTACATTAGAAATTTTGCCAGATATTAATACATATAAGAACAATTTGTATATATAATATCTGGAAATCTCTGATATTATGACCATTTATTTTATATCAATTACAATGGCCAAAGTTGACACTATTCTTAAATATACTTAAAGATCTCTATCTCCTTATGTACTTCTGGCACTCTTGTTATTCAGGCAAGCATAAGGGTTCTTACAGCATCTTAGCAAGTATAAGCATTCACTGCATATATCATGTCCACACAGTGACACTGTTAATATTGCTTTTTATCTTTCATTCAGGTCTTAGTTTTTAAGGTTTCTAGACTTTCAAAACATTAACTTTGACTAAATAAAACTTAACCATAACATTGTATTTCACGTTCTAAATACAAAGCTTGATTGCTCTTACAGAATTGAAAAAGTTTTTCATTAAAAAACGCCACACTTAATAGAACTTTTTAAATTTAAAAACAGCCATGCCAACTATTCTTTAAATGCTGCCTGTTTAATATATACCCCAAGTTTCTTCTGCAAAAACATGATATTCCTTTTATAGAAGATTGGGCTAATAATAAAAGAATAAAAATTGTTATATAAATAAGCAATATTTAAATTAACTATAAGGAAATTTATTCAAGCATTTATTTAAATTTGATTGCACAATACTAGAAGTCTTACTTTTTTCACTATTTTAATTTCATGTCCACTCCAAAAACTAAAGTTGGTTTGCAGTTGTTAGGAAAGAATAAGAATTATATATTAAAACTTTCTTATAATATTAGAAAGATATAACCCAGTTATAAGTTAATTTTTTTATCCTGTCTCATAAAGAAGAATTAATTATCCATTGATGTATATATTTTTGGAGTATAATCACCAAAATGTTTCTGGGCTAAAATAATTAGGTTGAGGAATAAAATGTAATAGCCCAGTTATAGACTAAATAGTATATATCCAAAGACCAGTCCGTCTATTGAGAATATTTTATTTGCTACATTTATTTTGAAAGTAGCATGCTGTATGTTATGTTCCAGTGTTCTATAATTAGAGCTCTAGTCAAAAAGATCATGAAACAGTCTAATACTCCACTTGTCTGGTGTTTTCAGTATACACTTTAATCCCATATTTATAATTCAGGCTTGTTCTAAAACTTACAAATTTGAAGAGTCCAAGAATAATTGCATTTGCTTCAAAAAAATTTACGTTAGTGTTTTTCTTAGCTAAGGTATTGTAGACAATTGTGCTCTTTACAAAAATGTACTGATGTACTTCCATAGTACATTCATTCAATTCTGTAAAAATTATATTACTTCCTTTTTCTCTCCAGATATAAAATACAGAAAAAATAGAGGTGATATGAAAGTTCATTAATTCTAATGTACTAAAAAAAGCCTGTTCTGCCTAAATTGTGATACTGTCCTCTTATTTTATAGCTAATATAACATATCCATGATAGCAGAAACAGCTTTAATAACTATAAAAAGATCAATGTTTTAACTTTTAATTATCAAAGTCCTTTTTATTCTAGGTCATGATATAAAAATGAACAAGGATATAGATACTAAACCCTCATGCTTAACCGCATATAGTTCTGAAACAACCAATGACAGTATATAAAGGAAATGTTTAATTAACATAAAAAAAATTACCTAAAGAAGCATATCTTTTTTTTCCTTTGGTGTTTTGGAGAAAACATCTAAAGGATAATAATTTTAAAGTATACACTAACAATTTAAGGTGATTTTTAATAACTTTCAGTGTGTTTCTTGCTAATCATTTTTAGGATCTTTGTTTTTAATATGTCTAACTTTGGTACCAAAACAAAGAAAGCTACACAATATCCACTTACATATTTTTAGCAACACTTAAAAGAAGCTTCCTAAAATCCTTATTAATATCTGATCTATTATGCAAACTATTTTTTAAACAATGTAATAGATGTAAATTTTCCCTACCCTATACATACCCAAATACTGATTAGTAAAGTCAACCTTAGGATTCTTTTATTCAGGATGTACCAGCTGTTTGTTTGTGAGACTAGCTTTCAATAAAATAACATATTTAATATCCTAATGTCTAAGCCAAAGGAAAAATGAAAATAAGCTTATCAACAATCCTGTGTTTACCAAATACATTTTTACACCTGTGTCCTAGCTATGTGCCTATCTTTAAAGAATGACTTGTTTAAAACTCGAGCTCAGACTTACCTACCTTCACATATTGAATATTTAAGACATCTACCTCTACAAACTTACCAATGATGGGTCTTGATAACTTAGTTGAACTTGGCTAGTCCCCTTCACACTACATTAGATGTTAAGTAGTAAGTCTTCACTATTTTTCCTTTGTTTTTCTGAGATCAGGCTGATTTCCTAATTTTTACACTTAGCTATACACAGTTATACATTTACATTGGTTTTTGTGCCCCAGAACTGACAGCTCCGCTTTTATATGGTCTCCATGGATTATGGAAAAAAGGAAGAAGTGCTATATAGTCTTGTTAGGCTAGAAAGCTAATTTTATGACATTAGTTACATCCAAAAATGTTTTATTTAAAACTTGTTATGAATTAACTACCTTCTAGAAGCTGATTTTTATGTGGACAAGATTTTAATAAGAAAAAACTTCATACTTCAAGGACTGTTTATTAATTGTTACTTTTAAAGCTAGGTCAGACAATGTCATAATGAATGTTAAAAATATTTCCTTTATATTCAGCAAAATATACTCCTCCCCAATCTGAAAATGGTGTGAAAATCCAACCATCAGCTTTCATGCAATTAACCACACATATTTTCAATAATTAATTTTATTTTAGTACTTAACAATTTTCTTCTATAATACCAAAATAGGATTCTTACACATTATAACTTGATTTATTTAATTACATTCCAATAATGAGTTGTAAAATGAAACTGAACTCAGGACTAAAAAGTTTTGCTTTTTAAAAATGTAGGGCGTTTCCATAATACAATTTTTATAGAAATTTAAATACAAAAAGTTAATGCAATAATTTCAATTTACAAGGACTGAGGATTCTCTGCTTTATGAAAGGCTTTATAAATTCCTTTAGTAAGTGATTTTCAAAAGTAATCTTAAAAATGCTATGTAGAGTTTTTTTTATAATACATCAGTCTGATTCTATTAACAAGTCATAATCTACCATGCAAAAAATACGGGAAAAGTACCCATCGTGCCTTGCTAATTATGGGACTGTGTAGCTTGAATTTAAACAGTTCTGAAGAAATTATTTAAAACATAAAATAAAATGTAGATGTTCTTAGCTCTCAAGTTAGCAAAGACTTTAATAGTTTTTGATACATTTTTAGAAATACAACTTAGATGATAGCTAAAAGATCCTATATACCATGGGTTTCATCCTGAACTTCTTCACGGTGTAGCCCATGTCCAACTTTAGCTACATTTCATTAAAAAAAAAAAGTAAAATATGACAATAGCGTATTCTTTATGCAATTCATAATAAAGTCTCTAACTTGTAGAAGTTAAAACTTGACTGTCATATATGACATATAGAAGATATAATTTACAGGAATTATCCAATGTGTGGCATTTTTGCTAACATGGTGGTATTTGCTTTGGTAATAACTGTAGTCAAGGGCATTTAATCTGGTTCCTGCAGGCTTGTTAGGAAAGATGTCGTTAGGAAAGATGTCATAAGAATATAGTAATAAATGTTCAGTAAATTCACAGAGCTTAAATTGTTAGTAAATAGATGAGTCTTTTAATAAGTTCATTTGTATTAAACTGTATGTGTGAAATGAAAAAGTTTCAGTGTTTGTGACCTCTAATAAAATTCTCTGGCTTTGTTACTATAATAGTTAACTCAAATAAAACTTTTGAATATTGATGTTTTCATGTTCAGAGATAAATGTGTAAAGAATTAGTAAAATGTTATTTTTAAATACCTAGATTCATGAATTTATGACAACATACTTTCACTTAGAGAACGGTTGGATTCAAAAACCTGGAACCCTATTCTGAAAATAAGAAACAAAATAATCTTAAGGAAAAAGAAAAACAGAGACTATAGAGCTATTAACACTTTTAACAATTTACACCAGCACACATAAGCAGGCTTCAGGTATAAAGGAAACTACTGAGCAAAAGAAAAATATACCATATTTCAGCATAAGGTAAGTATTTTTCCTAAGTTTCTATTCTGGCACTCATCTCTTTCATAATCTAGTGTCAAGAACTAATTTTACTACCTCCTCTTCCCCACGACACAGCGCCCTCAGTACACACTCAGGCACTGTCGTGGTGCTAAGGATGGTGCTGAGCTTTGGCACTAAAACAAGTTTGAGTCTAGGCTCTCCTGTTTTATAAGCCATATAACCTTAGCCAAGTTACTTAATCTGTGTCTCAATTTCTTACCAGTTAAATGGAGTTAGAAGAATACTTCTTAGGGCTGACGGAAAAAGTAAATGAGAGAACACAAATAAGGAACACAGAACTGGTGGTTCCCTCCCTTCACCTTCACTTATTACTGAACTAACAATTAAGAAAATTTGGCAAAATTGTGGCCGTGGGATAATAATCCAGAGAAGACTTACTGAACAGCTATATTTACCAGTATTTCTATTCAAAAAGCAAGTCATTATTTTCACAGAGGCATGCATGGAAAAGGACAGAGTTTTAGAGTCACAAAACTTTAACTGCTATAAATTTTTGATTTTTTTCTATACTTAGCAGTGATGATACACTTAACAGTGAGCACTGAAGACTGAAATGCTAATGTCTAGTGTTATAATATTTTTACTTTCTCATTGCCTGGTTTCTCTGAACTCACAAACGGCAGTTTCATTTCTTCCCAAACTTGAACGTTTCTCGTCATTTTCAGTTTTAACTTTTTACATTTTGAGGCTATCTATCATTGGATCATACAAGTTTGTAATTGTTGTAACTTTTTGGTACATTACTCCTTTTACATTAAGTCTCACTTTAGTAATGGTTTTCCCCTCAAAACAGATTATCTACTATTAATATTATGATACCAGATTTATTTTGGTTAATACATGCCTAGTGTTTCTTCATGTCTCATTTTCTGTGATAAGTATATACCTTGTAATGACATAGAGCTAAATTTTTAACTTTAAGCTTGAATATTGCTGTCTTTTGACAGAAAGTTCATCCTATGACATTTTTTTTATTATCATTACTGATATCTTTGTATTTATTTCTGCCATCTTATTATGGGTTTTCTTTTGCCATATTTTTCATTTTTCTTTGCCTTTTTTTCTCATTCCTCTCTTCTACTAGACTTGAGTATTTTTTTTAACATTTCATCTGGCTAGGAAGAAATACATTCTATTTGTAGTATTTTAGTGATCAACTAAAATCGTGTAATATGCTTAATAACTTTATATTTTTAATATTTATAGCCTTTTAACCAATAGACATTTCTAGATTAGTTCAAAGGAAGTCAGATTACTGAACTATCATATTTAATGTGTTCCAGAATAAAGGTTATTATCCTTTTAAAAGTATTTTAATCAGGAAAATATATAATTAATCATATTTTAATTGAATGTATTAAGAGAATAGGACAATGACTCCAATCTATAACAGTCATAAATCTGGTTTTGAAGGTTCATCTTCATGTTCAATCCCACAAATCGCACAGTGACTGTCAGCTAAGGAGAGTGTATACATACAAGGCATGGCCTTATTAGAGGAGGTTAGTACCACTTTACCCACACCATACACTAAGAAAATTGGCATCATCCATTTCCACAGTTGTTCCCAGAGCTGTCCTGCTTACCCAATGAGTTTTTCAGGCCCTCTGCAGATGTTTCATTCAAAAATCCTTAACGACTTGAAGGCAAGGCTCATCTCTCCTTGGAGGTATAATTTTCTTCTTGCAGATCGTATATTCGGTTTCCAGAAACATCCTGACATCTGATACTATCCTGTTCTTAAGTGAAGAGCTGTGGACTTTAAAATCCATGGTGAGTACACTGTGTCACAGACAAAATGGGATTGAAACTCAGTTCATAGCCAAGGGTGGAACTTCTATACTACAGCCTCGCCTTACTTTGGTGAAGATCCAAGTAAGGCTGAAGCTGCCAACAGCTATTCATGAAAAGAGGCACAGTAGAGAGTATATTATTTCTAGTTGTCAAGGCCATAGGAAGATCCTCTTGGTGTGTAGCTCTTCCTAATCCCCTTTCCTCATCATGGAAACGTAAGTAGAAACTGATTAATGTGATACAATCTTAAGCAGGGTATTTTAAATATGGTCAAGTATTCCATTAGATGGTTCTGCTTAGTTCAGAGGATCTATAATGGGTAACCTAAGACTACCTGAAACTAAGAAGTCAATTTCACCTCTAAACTGGTTAGTCCCTTCCCCTAAACTCAAAGTAGTTCTTGATGATAGAAAAAAATCAGCTTAAGCTGGACTTCTCCTATCTTGTCTCAAAAAAAAGAGTCACTCTCCTTTAAAGGTGAAAGTCCCCACTAATTAACTTTCATTAACTTCGTTGTTACTATTCTGGCCCTTCCAGCAACATTAACCTCTAAGTTTATTGTGTCCTATTGATAGAAATTAACTAATCCTATCCAAAGCTCCTGCAAGAGGAAGGGCAGGGCCAGCTGTGTTGTGCTGAAATGACATACTTCATACTGTCTTAGTTTTGCAAGGGACTCCAAGGCTTTCTAGAACTGATCCCCCTAACCTGTACTCCTAGTTACCCCAGCCTGTGCCCTAGCTTTCCTCAAGCTCTCTGAACTAGTAAACTTTTGCAGCAAAAACAGACACCTAACTGCCACACCCTTTTAGGCCCACTATATTATTCATTCCGGCAAAAGATGAGGGCAAGGACCCATCAAGGTTTACAGCATCCCAGACCTCAGCAGGAAGAATGGTTGTCCTACACCTGGTAGAAGTATGGATAGGGGAGAACTGCCTCCAAGAGGCAATTACAGATTATTAGACAGCAGCTTTATGGACCAACTCTTAGTCAAGAGGCCTGGCCTCTCCACCGTAACTCAAGGTTACATTAATGCAGGCCGACACTGTAACTATACACTCACTTAGGGGTGAAGCAATCAGAGGTCCAGGAAACCATCCCTACCATAATGCCCAAGGAGTAATCTGTCAAATGGTTGGTACTGCCACCTGCTACCCAAGCCACTTGTGATGGTAAGTCATCCTAGTTGGAGGCCCACAACCTGACCAACTAGTGGCTTTACTTCAGTTTCAGAAATTCCCAGATCTAGAGTTACATGCCAATCACAAGTACAACTATGGGAGGGGAAAAAAAAGGCCTGTGCCTCAGAGCCCATGTCCCAGCAGAGGCCTTCTTGAGTTTCTCAACTTAATATTCAATTTATCAGGCTCTTCTCAGCCCTGACAGAGTCACACAGGTGTTTAAAAAAAATAATGAGGCCTACTTCCAGAATAAGTATGAGATTTCATTGAAATGAAACTATTTATTATCGCTGCCTATTTTTGGCCTCCATATAGCCATAGGCTTTCTGACTTCTGAGGTGCCTAATCCTTGAGTTCACTTGTGGAATAGCCCTCTAGTATACAATGGTGCCACATATACACTGCCTACAATTTCTTGCATAACTTCATAGATAAGACTGTAATCTACTGGGTTGACAGCTTATTACTTTACTTTGACATCCCATGAACACCTGCTCAGTGCTCTATCACCTCCTGCAACACTGCCTCCAAGAATACTCCAAAATGAATATTTGAAAGCCTTAGGATCGTATTTGGGAGAAACTTCCTTTCTGGTCAAGGAATCCACAAGATGCCAGATAAGGTGTTAGCATTTCTGGAATAGGGGAATTCTTGTATGTCTCAAGTTTATTATCATCATCTCCCACAAGTGATTAGGATGCCCTCTCTTGGAAGTGCATGCCCTCCAGTTTTAAGCTTCACCTATCCTCCACTTGCCATTCTTAAACTGCTGGATCAAACTAAACATATCAACTCAATACCCGAAGAATATTTGCTTTACCTATTTTGCCTCCTAGAGAATCCAACTGGTTCACCTTCATATCACCACAGAATAAGTCATATCCAACTTATCTCACTTCTTCACTCAAAATACCCTGTCTTCTGTAATAATTATGCCCTCTCCTCTTTGGTTCCCCTGTTTTCTTGTGTCCTCCAGTACCACAAATACTCTGGTAGCAGTTAAGTGCCTGCACAAATGAGACTGCACAAAAGGAATTAATACCCAGCAAGCCAAGGTCCAGTGTACTGACTGGCATTAGGCCATGGGGAAGATCATTCAAGAGGAAGACACTGTCCCTTCATTCATGATAGTGATAATGTCACTTCTAAGGCAGAGGTTATCAACACTTGTTTTCCAAGTCTGTCTTCCTTCATCCATGTTAACATAACCCATCTCTTTCCCTGCTCTGCTATCCAGCCCTAGATTATTACACTCCATCTTAGTTCCCAGGAATCTGCCCTAGTAATCCCAGCAGGTAACTGGAATATGTCATATGGCAAGCCCAGGATTCCATTATGAAGAATAAGGAGGATATGAAGGAACATTGGTAGAAATGGTCCTTCCACCTTTAGAATGCCTTCAAGCATTCTTTTCTAAGCAATTTTCCAAGCAACCAGAAAACTCTCACAACACCAATTAATAAACAGAAGTGAGCTGAATAAATCTGGGGGAACTACGAGCATTAATAGTTTACTTCATAGTAAGCCCTCTCTGCTTTGCTACCATGCTTAGAATGGATATCTCAAGGCAAGTTCTCATTTTAAACTTTGCCCTTGCTTTCTAGTCACCTATAAGATACAATGCTGGCTTACTGTGTTGTAGTCATTGTATAAATGATACCTTAACATCTTCTTTGTGATGTTCTCTTATGGAGACTTGGAGAGAATCCTAAATCCAGTTTGAGATTCCTGAAGCACTGATCACTTCCTCCCTTCACCACCACCACCTTCAACAAATGCAACAGAACAGATCTGAATAAGGTACTTAGAAACTTTTAAACTTTAATAAGTTAAAGGAGCAAAAGAAATAAAAGTAAAGAGTACTTGAAAGTAAATGTATTAACATTTATAATAGCTATTCCACAATTTCTATATTGTGTTATAGCTCCTGATTGACCAAATCATATAAGGTAAATTATGTATGTGGATAACAAAAAAGACCAAGAAATACAGAGAAAATATTGCCTTTCTGAACTATCTACAGATTTTTTTAAATCATACCTATAAACCTGTTGTTATAAAAAAAACTTTATCATATCAAGTACCTCAAGAGAGCTTTATAATTTATCATATAGTCCAAACTTGATACATTTACTTATCAGCTTACTAAACATTTAAGAGTAAATACCCTTTTTCAGTAGTCTGATAAAAACTGAGGATTCTGATCTTCTTTTAAAGCTTTCTGTAAAACAGCATGGTTGCAGTTATCCTTATTTTAAATAAAGGAACAAAATTTTTCTTTAAATTTAAATTAT